TTCGTGTATGTCCCCTCCCAGTTTCCACATCCATATGTTGATTTCACATAACAGTCACAATGGAAACAGTTTGTATTCTCTGTTCCGTCAACATCATACCAGATGTGTTCCTTGTCCAGCATAGTTCTCAAAATCATTCTCATTTTTAATGGCTATAGATTAGGCAGTTCTTGGATATTTTTAGATTGTTTTGACTTGTGGCTATTATAACTAAAACTGCAATAAACATGTTCTTGAGCATAACTTTTATTCTTTTTAATTCTTTACTTAAGATAAATCTACAGAAGCTAGTGTTTGGGTCAAAAACATGACTTTTCATTTATGACTCTTGAAATCACTTGCCCAATCGCTTTCTAAAAGCACACAAGATAATGCCAATATGCAAGTTTATATATTTTAATTTTTACCTTAATCCTATTATTGCATTTTTCAAACGGGATTGCATCTCTCCTTATTTAATTTATTCTTTGACTCGATGAGGTAGAGTAATTGTACATATATTTATTTTACTATTCATCTTTTTATAACTTTTTTTCCTGGGATCATTTGGTTTTATTTTGTTAAATTTATTCTTTCTGGTTTTGTATGTTTGAAATCATCATCTCTCATCCCCTTAAGTTTCATACCTTACATTTAATAAACATGATTTCTTATGTCCTCGTCCAAACTCTTAACTACAAACTAAAGTTAAAAACAAAACCCGCCACCTACAAAACTCAAGTCTCCCAGCTCTACCTCCAGTTCTGTCTTTGATTTTACTTTTTACAGTGTTTGCTTTCCCACTAAATTTATTTTATTTTATTTTTGGCTTATTTTTGTAGTTCTAAATACTCCAAGAAAGTGTGCGTAAGTGTGGGTCTATTTAGACCGCCTGGCATATAAAATGCACTTTATACGTATCTGTGCATAGATAATTTCCCAGAGTTAAAGGATGTTGAGTCTCCAGAATGAGAAAGCCCATCAAGTACCTAACAAAAGGAATTGATTCTGGAGAGGTTTTTTTGGCTTTCAGGTCTGGGAAATTATCTCTGTTATTTCTTTAATACTTCCCTCATCTCCGTTTTCTTAGTTCTTTCTTTCTGGAATTCCTGGATTTGGTTTCCTCGATTGATTTCCTGTTGTTTTCCTCATACTCTGTCTTTGATTTTTTACTCTACTTTCTGGAAGATCTCCTTAATTTTAGTCTGTAAACCTGTGAGGGATGCTAGCTTGTAGCCCCTAGTCAAGACTCAGACATCAGGCACCTGCCGGGGGGTTGGGGCTGAGCACTAGCAGACTCTCCACTGAGCCCCACTCCAAGAGTTGCCTTCACTGGCTTTCCCGAAAGCCATGCAGCCCATCTTGGGGCTGTCTACATCCACTGACTGGCCAATGTCGGGTACAAATACCTGGCCTCTTGCCTCCGTAAAGGCAATTCTGAAGGGTCATACCAGCTGTACAGCTCCCCATGGTCTCTGTGGCAGCTGCATTCACTGGACAGCCCAGCTTCTCTCTCCCCTGGTCCTGCTTTCCTCCAACCCTCAAAGGTGTTCTTCCCAAAGTTCTCCCCAGTCAACATCCTGCTCTCAAGTATCAGTCTCATTCAGTCACATCAGGAAACTGACCTACAGCACAACCCTTCTTTTGAATTTTCCGATTTCTTCATTTTTTCTTTCTAGGTGTTGGATATCTTGGACTGATTTCCTGTAACTCTCACATCTGTTTTCACATACTCAGTTTGTCTTTTTGTTCCTATTTTTGGGTGATTTCCTAATTTTGTTTTTTAATCTTTTTATTGATTTTTTTTGCAAGGTTTTATTTATTTCCAAGAGCTCTTATTTGCTTTTTCTTAAAAAAGTACTTTGCCCCTGTTTCATAGATTAGGGAGCTTTGCTTTGTGTTGCGTTGTTTTGGTTCTCTTCTGCTGTCTCCATTATGGCATTTTAACTCTCGTGTCTCATGTTGGAGAGGTTCCTCAAATGTTTTTTGACCCTCAGTTTTTGGAAGACAATGTACACATTTGTGAGTTCTGTTCTCTTTATAGGATGAAGAGGACTATTATGATTGTGTACTTGCAAATCCCAGGGATTTATTTTTCTCTGAGGCCATTTAATGTCCAGAAAGGATCCTCCATCTTCATCCTAATGAAGCAACTCTTTGGTCAAGTCCTCCATAGAAGGAGTAATCAGAAGAGGGGAGTGTGTGCAGGCCCACTGCTCTCCATTCTGCATTTTAACTCTGCCTCTCATTCAGTTTTTTAATTATTACTGTATTTTCTTTTTCCTTATCACTATCAAGTTCCCTGTGTTGTTTTTAAATAGCTTTATTGAGATATTATTCATATACGATAAAATTCACTCTTTTAAAGTGGACAATGAAGTACTGCCATTAGTATATTCACAAAGTTATTCAACCACCGTCACTGTCTAATTCTAGAACATTTTCATCACCTCTCCCCCCAACCCAATAAAAAGACCCTGCACCCATTAGCAGTCAGCCCTCATTCCTCCCTCTGCTCAGCCTCTAGCAACCACTAGTGAATTTCTGTCTGGATGGCTTGATTTATTCTAGGCATTTCATATAAATGAAATCATGCAATATGAGCCTTTTCGAGTCATGGGTCCTTTCACTGAGTGTAGTGTGTCAAGATTTATCCACATTATAACTTGTATCAGTACTTTAGTTATTTCATTATATAGATACACCACATTTTATTTATCCACTCATCACCTGGTTGATATTTTTTGTTTCCACTTTTAGACTATTGTGAATAACATCGATTTGAATATTTGTGTACAAGTTTTTGTGTGAACGTATATTTTCAATACTTCTGGGTATGCATATCTAGGAGGGAATTCCTAGGTCACATGCTAACTCAGTGGTTAATGTTTTGAGGAACTGCCAAACATTTTTCCAAAGTGGCTGCACCATCATGTATTCCCACCTGCATTGTTTGAAGGTTCCAGTTTCTCCACATCCTCATCAACATTTATTTTCAGCCTTTTTGATTCTTTCATCATGGTCCTGATTTGCCCATCTCTAATGACTAGTGATTTTAAGCGTCTTCTCAGGTGCCATTTGTATATTTTCTTCAGAAAAATGTCTATTCAAAACTTTCTCACTTTAAAATTAGGTTAATTGCCTTTTTATTAGTGAGTTACGAGTTCTTTCTATATTTTAGATGTAAGCCCCATGTCAAATATATAATCTGCAAATTTTTCCTCCCATTCTTTGGTGGTCTTTTCATTTTCTTGTGGTGCCCTTTGAAGCACAAAATCTTTTAATTTTGATGATGTCAAGCTTACCTATGTTTTCTTTGGTTTCTGTGCTTTTGGTGTCATATCTGGGAAACTATTTTCTAAGTCAAGACCATGGAGATTTTTACTTATGTTTTCTTCTAGGAATTTTATAGTTTTAGCCCTTACATTTAGGTCTTTGACCCATTTTGAATTAATGTTTATATATGGCACAAGGTGGTCCAATTTCATTCCTTTACGTGTGGATATCCAGTTGTCACAGCACCATTTGTTGAAAAGACTAGTCTTTCTTCCTTAAATTGTCTTGGCACCTTACAAAAATGAATTGACCAGAGATATAACGATTTATTTCTGGACTCTCAATTCTATTCTGTTGATATATATGTCTGTCCTTATACCAGCACCATGTAATTTTGATTACTGTATATTTGCAGTAACTTTTGAAATAGGGAAGTGGGAGTCTTTCAACTTTATCCTTCTTTTTCAAGGTTGTTTGGGCTATTCTAAGATCCCTTACATTTCCATATGAATTTTAGGGTCAGCCTGTCAACTTCTGTGAAAGTGGCAGCTTGGATTTTGGTGAGGTTTTCATTGAATCTGTAGATCAATTTGGGGACTCTTGCCATTTAAATGATATTAAACTTTCCAATACATGAACAGGTGACATCCTTCCATTTATTTAGGTCTTTATTTTCTCTCAATGATGTTTTGTAATTTTCAGTGTCCAAGCCTTACACATCTTTTGTTATTTTTTTCTAAGTATTTTATTATTTTTGATAGTAATTTAAATAAAACTGCATTCTTAACTTCATTTTCGAATTGTTTATTGCTCATGTGTAGAAACACAACTGATTTGTGCATACTGATCTTGTATCCAGCAACCTTGATGAATTTGTTTATTAGCTCTAATAGTTTTCTGATGGGGTCTTTAGGGTTTTCTATATACAAGATGATGTCATCTGCAAATAGAGAAATTTTTGCTTCTTCATTTCCAGTCTGGACTCCTGTTTCATTTTAGCGACTAAATTGCCCTGACAAAGATCTACAGCACAATGTTGAATAGAAGTGTGTGGACAGATGTCCTTGCCTCATTCTTGATCTTAGGAAGACTTTCAGTTTTCCATCATTTTATATGGTGTTGGATGCATGTTTTTTCATGGATGCCATTAATCATATTGAAGAAGTTCCTTTCTCTTTCTTGTCTGATGCATGTTTCATCATTGTATCTCATTCTTGCCCTCTCTGATACCTGATGGTACCAAATCCTATTAATGCCTAGAGTTCTGTGGGGCAAATGGGCTCCTCTCAACTGTATACTCTTTCTCATACATTATAGATTGTGGAATCCTCTACACTGCCTACTGCAGTCACCAGGAATAAAAGGTAGTGTTTATGTGGAAATGTGGGACTTTAAAGACTCTCAGAATTACTTACCAATAAGCACCCACCCCACACGCTAACCACAGATCCCCTTTTGTTCTTTCTTGTTTCTACAGTGAATTGACTTGATACCTCGTAGTTAACTTACTGCTTTCCAAAACTTAGTCATGCTGTTCTTTCTAATTTGCTTTTCCAGCCTTTTAACTGTTTATTCATTATCTCACTTTTGCCCTTCTTACACTTTCCATTTTCTTTAACCTGTTTTTTTTTTTCTCGACATTTTTTCAGTTCAGCGATTTCTTTTCAACCGAACGTTAAACGGAGCCCTGTGGGAATCCTCATCCTTCACCCTTCATGCACACTATCGCATTCTGAGCTCAAAAGTCATGCCTTTTCTGGACTAGAAATCAGAAAGTGTGGTGTGAAGACGTGGCTCTGGCACTTAAATTTGTGATCATGGGTGAGTTAAGCTTCTCTGACTTGGCTTTTATTATCTACTTCATATGGCATTTATTATAACTGAATGAGCTTTTCTATACAAAGTTTCTACTGTGTTGCCTTGCATAATCAAGTGTTTGATTAAATGTAACTTCCTTCCCTTTCTCAGCTGCTAATATACAACATGGGTTGTGTTGTTTGTCCATGCGTCCCTCTCTACTGAGTCATAATGACAGGATTTAGATGTATTAATTTATTGACTTGCTGTTAGTTTTCTTTGGCTTTTCTCTAGGAGAGTTCAGAAGGTTCCCTACAGATATAATGTATGGAAGTGGCAATAATCTTGGGCTGGGGCTGAGTCACCACTTGGTGCATTTTTTTCTCAGTCTTTAACACCGATGGCTAAATATAAGCTTATTGCAGGCAGGCTTTTTTGGCATGACTTAGAAACTCATGGTGAGTGTTTATCTCTTCACATAACTTTTGTAAGGTCTGTTCACCTCAGATTTAATCATCGTGTTAAACATGATCGACATCATCACTGAGTCTCCATCTCCCATGCATCTTCTCTTGGGAGCTCCGGTCAAGACGAGACTTTTGTAAGAGTAGTAGCTTAGTGGTTATGAGCAGGACCAGTGATGATGAGATTTCCCAGGTTAAACATGGGTTGGCCTTTTCTCTTCCACTGAAAGTCATTTTAACCCTTCTATTAAAAATTAAAAGCAACCATCATTTTTAAAATGAAAAATGTTCTATTTATTTATGGTAGAAAAACTAGAAAACCATGGGTAAGTATAATGAAGTGTGAGTTTAAAAATCCCCTCATAATTTTACTATCTAATACATAACACTCTTTTCAGATAGTTTTTTATAGTTTTATACTTGATCCAGATCAGAGAGTGTACACTTCATAAGTCTGTGTGGAACTGCCTATTTATGACATATGCATAATCAAATTCTCTGCCAAATACTCCGAAGAGTTGGTAGAAGAGAGTTGCAGCCTTATTTTTCACATGCTTTTCAGTCCACAGGCAAACTACTAACTCACTGCTGTGTGGTGTGAATCAGGTTAGCTGTTTAAAATTCTTTCTTTTCTAATAATAACATATTGTTTATAACACATTTAATGGAATCCCTTCAATGTTCCTATAAAGTTCCTGTAAATAATAAATATTGTACTTGAAAATGTTTCTAGCTAAATTCTCAGATCGAGTTAAATTTCACAAATGTGGAAAAGATCGGAACTGTGAGACAGGACATTTGCTGTCACTTTTGGAGGCTAGCTTTGCAAGGACAGGATGTGACACACTATTTCTTTTCTCCAAAACACTATTTTGCTAGTGAATGGATGGTGGGGCCTGGCCTTGTAATAATAAAAAACCCTCTTATAATGAAATGAATCAACCTGGTTTTATTGAATTACGTTTTCTATCAAAATACTTCATTAGTCTTCAAAGCACAGCAAACAGTAGGTGTTATCATATATACATTTTATATATTATGCATCAAATATATTTAATATTTTATATATTATGTATTTTATATATTATTTTTATATATTATATTATGTGTATTTTTATATTTTATATATTATATATTGTATATTTTTATGTTTTATATATTATTTCTACTATTTTGAGCATAATTTTAACAAATACAAACACACTTTCATCTTCCATAAGTTAAAATTTTAAAAATTCTTTCCCAGTTCTTTTGACTGTTTCTCAGAGTTAGGTAGAAAACTACTGTGTCATCTGCTCTGAACATTCTGAGCAGTGAGTCTTAAACTTGGCTGCATGTTAGAATCACAGAGCTTTGCATAATCCCAATGCCCAAGACATATCCCAGAATAATTAAATCCAAATTTCTGGAGGTGAGACACAAGTGTATTCATTTCTTCGGGCTGCCGTAACAAATTACTGTAAACCTGTTGACAAAGGATAGAAGTGTATTCTCTCACAGCAACCTTAAGTCAGAGTGTTGGCAGGGCCGTGCTCTCTCTCCAGGCTCTAGAGGAAGGTCCTTCCTGGCTTCTTCGAGATGCTGGTGGTTGCCAGAGACCCTTGGCTTTCCTTGACTTGCTGTTGTGTCACTCCAATCTCTGCCTCTACCTTCACATGCCCTTCTTCCCTGTGTCTCCTCTGTGTCTCTGTATCCAAACAACCCTCTCCTTTCTCTTACAAAACAACAGTTGGATTTAGGGCCCACCCTAACCCAATATGACTCTTCTTAACTGGGTTAGATCTGCAAAGACCCTATTTCAAATCAGGTCCCGTTCGTAGGCACCAGAGGCTAGGACTTCAGCACATCTTGTGGGGGGACACAGCACAGCCCATCACAGCAGGCATCAGTAGTTCTGTTTCCCTAGGGGATTCCATGGCTCAGCAGCTAATGCAGAGAGCCACTTCTTTCAGAAAAGTGAGCCTCAAACTTTAATAGGTGTATGATCTTGGGGATCCTGTTAAAATGTAGATTCTGATGCAGAAGTTCTGGAGGGAGGCCTGAGACCCTGCATTTCTCACAGAGTCCTCAGCGGTGCTGGTGGTGTGGTCCACACTGCAAAGAACAAGTACTCAGAGTAAAGGCCTGGTAAACTTCTTTGAGCTCCACCCCTATCTTCCCTTCTAGACTCAGGAGCACCTTGGTATTAAAAGCCTTTGCAAGAAAATTCCACTAGGTCAACCATCTAGCTGAGAAAGTGACTACATTTTCCTTCTAAATCACCTGCTCCAACCTGGCTTCTGCTCTTCAATTTGTGGCAAAACAGAAATGTGAAAAAAAGGAAATGTACAGATGCACAATGGACATTCAGGACACATGTTTTTTAAATAAAAGAGAGTTTTCTGGAAGTTACTTTTAAATCACTCCAACGCGACCCTTCTTCCCCTTACCCATTCTCATTATAAAATTCAAGTTCCAAATGAGCATGAATATTTGAAATACAGCAGTGTTATCAGTCTTTCAACTTGCCATCTAAAGTTTAAAGGGACTTTTATCCTCAGGCTAAGAATTCTAAAACATATTTAAACATTACAAAATGCAGATTGACTAGAGATATAAACTGATAAGGACAAACCTTCCTGGGGTCGCTTTCACTCATCCTTCTAAAATAAATGTAAATTTTCTCTTACTGGGATTAAAAATAACTAAGTGGCATAGCTTGCTGGGCACAACAAAGACATGAAATGAACTAATATTTTAACAGACGAATTTTTCACTTTTGGATCACAGATGCCAGTTTTCTTTCACGTGACTCTTCGCTGCAATTTAACCAGAAACGATCTTGTCAGCTTATGAAAACAATGTTGGTCAATTAGGAGAAATCACAGAATCTACTCAAGAGGTTTGCGAAGGGAGCTGGCACATAGCGTTTTTTAAGTTGAGCTGAAATGTAAGACTTACCAACATGAAGAGTTGAGGTTTTCTTTCCTAACTTTTTTATTTTGAAGAATGTCAAATCCACAGACAGTTTAACAATGAGCACCCATGTACATGTCAGCTAGATTCCTCTATTGTTCACATTTTGTTACATTTGCCTTTTTATTTCTCTGTTTCCGTTTTTAATTTTGCTGGACCATTCGAATACTCCAGGGATCATAACATGTCATAATTGAACACTTCAACCTGAAGAACAGGAACATTCTCCCAAATAATCACAGTGCCACTGTCACAACCACGAAATTGAACATATATAATAGTATTATCCAAAATACAGTCAATATGAAAAAATCCTCAAATTTCTCCTAAATGTTCCCTGTAGCTGTGTTTTCCTTTTCTTTTCTTTTTCTTTTTATTATTAAAAAAATTCAGTATCCAACCCAGGATTATGCGTTGTGTCTAGTTGCTATGTTTCTTTACTTCCCTTTATTCTAGAACAGTTATCACTGCCCTCCCCTCCCCACCTGATTCTTGCGCAGGTCTTTTATGATATTGACATATGTCAAATCATGTATCAAGTAACATGTCATTGACATATGACAAATTTGGCCTGTGGGAGCCCCTTCAGGGCAGCTCCTGTCCTGATATGTCCCCACAATTCTGTGAGCATTTCCTTGTTTTTTTGGTGTAACACAGGCTGTTTTTTGACCCTGCTCCATACCTGGAATCAGCTGTTTATTTATCCAAGGAGGTCTAGGGTGGAGAATGGCATTAAGTAATCAATATCTGACCACTAGGCATGCTCCTTGCAGCCACGGCTTCATTGCCTCTAAGTCCTACAAGTGGAGAGAGCTGAAGCAATGTATTATAAATAAATACCAATATTTATAATCCATGCCTTCGTGTCATGTTTTTTTATCACCTCATCCCATTGCATGTGTCTATTCTCCTTCACCTACAGTCAAAACCCTGGTTCTCCAAATATCGATGCACTTAAAACATTAATTCTATCTTTCAATACACACAGAATGGTTTCAGAATTACTACATCAAGACCATGGTCAACAAAAAAATCAACTAAATGCAGTTCAAGATGTCTTTATTGTTCTTTTTATCTTTAGATTATTGTCTCCTTAGGAGGCGCAGCTAGAGAACCACGTTCAAAAGTTGTTTAAATTAACACTCTGTTCTTTGCGGTTATGTTGTCAATTTGATACAAAGCTAGATCCACTTAGTCTTGTTGGTATTCAATGTTTCAGTTTAAGAATATTTTTATCTTAATGTTACTTTTTTTGATTATGTGTAACACATATATGATTGAAAATGTAAAATGATGTAAGAGCATATACTCAGAGAAGTCTCATTCCCATGCCTAACCCTGTCAGTCCATGACTACCCATCTCTTGCAGACAACCATTTTTATTAGCTTTCAATTGATCTTGCCCATGTTTCTTTTTGGAAAAATAAATGAACATTTAAGACACATACCCATTTTTTTTCTTATTTTCCCTTCTTTCTTACACAAAAAGTTCATGGACCTCTGTCTGAGTCATTTTTATCTTTTTCGCAACTTTTCTGTGCTGTCCCTGTACATCTCTGTTAGTAGAAAATCATCTCTCTTCAATGTGCATTTCCCAAACAAAAGTCAGTATTTAGAAGCCTGTTGAAGAACAGGAAACTTTAATTCGTAAAATACTTTTATTAACACATCACAGAAGTTAAGGAAGAACTGCTCCCTCTGCTCTGTTTAGATCAGTCACTGGGAGATGCCCAGGACGCCCCCAGCTCTCCTTCTTGTCCCCATCAGGCTCCCACATTCCCCTTCTGACCTTATCCCAGCCCTCTCAGCTCCCGAACCTAATGAACTGTGCTTTCTGAAGCTCAAGGTCTGTTGTCAGCAAAACTGCCCAATCTTCAGGACGTGTTCTGAGTGTCCCCTCCACTTTTTGCACTGACTGAAGTCTGGTTCTAATGTCCATAGGTCTCATCCCACCAGCTCCTGAGGTGGGGTGGGGTATCTCCTTCTGACTTTCACTTCCAGATCTGTTCTCCTTCCCTCCTGAAATCCACCAGCTTGGAGATGCACGTCCTACACCCTCTCTCCTTGCTGCAGTCATCTACCAACCCCAAAGTCAATCACCCTCTTTCTTTGAATTTCTTTGAATATTTAAGTCAGAACTCATTATTTTATTTCTCTTACACTTTTAAAATGCATTTCTAATAGAAAAAAAAATTTAAGGCTGCATTTGTATTCAGTGTATATCTTGTCTGGAAATGGACTTAATGCCTATTATCGGCCAGTCACTCAGGAGACTGTGTGTTTCATTATTTTAAAAGTTGAATAACTAGAAAAAAAACTGTCAAATTAATTTGAACACATAAACAGTGGAATTGGATCACTCTTGTTACAATGCAGAAAATTGCCTTATATTTGGTTATTGAATTGCAGCAGCAAAAAGCAGTTGATTGAGATAGCAAAATAAATGGAATATAAAGAATTGGCTGCAGGCAAGTACTCATGATTTTATTCCTTCCTGACAGAAAACAACAGGAGAAATTGACGAAGACCCAGAGGTAAGCATGGATAAGTGAATGTGAGTAGCCAGTAGAGGTCAATTACTCTTAAAAATTTATGTGTGTGTGTACGTGTACTTGGTGTGTATGTGTAGCACGATGAGTTAATATTTCACAACCTCCTGGCAAGTAGTTTAATTTGTATTCAACGAATAGTTTACATTTTCTAAATTCAGGAAAGTTTCAGGCCTGAGAATTCATATTGATTTAGAAAAACTGTTTTAATTTCTTCTCTGTGAAGAATTGATTCCAGTAAAATCTATACAAGTGAGATTTCTGTAGCATAAATTAGCTTGAATATTTCTTCTTGACCCAGTATGGCAGGGATGTGGGCTTCCTATTGGCTAACATGTAGCCAGCTTACCAAACAGATTTAAAGGAATATCTTCTTATTTGGAGAATTTCTGAGATGGACAATGTACTGAATACTATATTTTATGTATTTATTCCAGAGAGATGAAAATTTTACTGTATCAGGATATGATTCTTTGTGTAACTATTTTAGAAGCTCATTTAACACAATAAGGAAATGTAAGAAATGTTAATTTTCCTTCTGGTCCTCACTGTATGGACTATGATGACATGCACAGACCAGAGTTCCTCATCCCCAGCCTGGCCCCAGGAATATTCTTCATGGTGATGCAAGTATGACCAGATTGGTGTATAAATCTTTAGAGAATTTCCACCAAAATATGAACAACTTTTCTCTTCAGGGTGGTAAGAGAAGACATGGTCAATGTAGATGAGTAACTTCATTTGCTAGACTGGATCAAAAGAACCAAAAATTACCTAAGCTAATATACACTGCCTTGTAGTTTGCATTCTGTCCAAAATTCTGGAATATGCATTGCTCCAGAATTTTTACTAGGCTTATCTCTTTGACAGTGGTTGTAGTCAGTTTCGAGTTCTTCTAGCCCTAAATTTTTGGCCAAGATCTTTAAGACTCCCAAAGGTAAATATTACTGTTTTGAAAACTAGCTTTTCCTTGATACTTGGGTAGGAAGAGAACTTGATGAAATGGCACCAGTAGTGAAATCCACAGCTTATGAGAGACCTGCATTTTACATCTTTCCCATTGATAAGACTTTGTTGGCTGCAAGCAGCAGAACCCAGCTCAAATTCATTTAATAAATACAAGAATTATTGACATGCACCTGCAAAATACAATGATACATCTGGCTTCAGGAGTGATTGGATCCAGCGGCTCAAATATTGACAGGAAAATACAACTTATTCATCTCTAGGCTGGCTTTCCTTTTTTCCTTTTATGGTAGCCACCAGCGGCTTGAGGCTTATAACCTTGGCAGCTCCAGTGAAAAGAAATCACTTTATTATCAATAACTACATCAAAAACTCAGATATGAACCTCCTTGGTCCAGCCTGGATTATGTGCCCACTCCCAAACTAACCACTGTGGTCAATGAGATGATGTCCTCATCAACAAGGGCTGGATGTGGGAGCAGAAGAGTTCTTCGAAGAGAGCATAGCCAGTCAAAGAAATAATTTAAATCTGTCTTTAATTCATTGCAGCATGAAATGAGTTGGAGCTGCTCTAATACATGGATTCTTCAATTCAGTCTAAAGGCAGATCACACAGTCCCTTTTGCAAAACAGTGGCTTCTGACTTGATCAACATAACGTAAAACCATCTTTAGTATTCAGAGTAGCTATAGATAGATGCTCAGACGGCAACATGGAGCCAGGCTTCTGACCTTACATAGAAGTCAAAATGGTAAAGCATATAACAACAAAAACATAAACACATAAACATACAAATAACGAGGTGATACACACATTGACACACACACACACACACACACACGCACACACACACACACATATATATAATTCAAAATAAACATTTGTGTGGTGCCTTATAATTTACAAAGACTGTTAATATATATTATCCCCTTGGAAGCTCCTTGGCTCATGTGACTCTTTTTAAATGCCCCAGCAATAAGCTATAAAAACACTGAGACCCCTTTTGATTTCTATATTCTACTTCTTTTCATTTTCTTATTTTTTCCCCACTACTTCTTATGCCTTCTAAAACATGGATACATTTTGTCCCTCACCGTTAGTTCTTCTGAGCTGTACTAAAGGATATTTGGTGCTTAGTGTTATCCATGCTTTATACTTTACAAAGCCCATTCGCATGCATTATTTTATTAGTCCCCCTCATAACAAAAAGCATATATGGGATACATATTTATAAGTCTTCTCAACAATCGTTAAACAAACAGCTCTACCAACGCTGAGTTACATTCAGTTTTACATAACTATGAAATAAAACTGCCTTGCTCCTCTGCCTTGCTGCTACTTTCTGTAGAGCTTTGTCAAGTGCATTCCTAAGCTTCTGCATTATATGGTTTGTTTGTTTTGTTTGTATTGAAGTGTAGTTGATTTACAATGTTGTGCCAGTTTCTGGTGCACAGCATAGTGAATAAGTTATACATATATATTCTTTTCATATTCTTTTTCATCATAAGTTATTATAAGATATTGAATATAGTTCCCTTTGCTACACAGTAAGTCCTTATTTTTTATCTATTTTATATATAGTAGTTTGTACCTACAAATCCCAAACTCCTCACTTATCCCTCTCTCCCAGCCTTTGGTAACCATACGTTTGTTTTCTGTGTCTGTGTGTCTTTTTCTGTTTTGTAAATAAGTTCATATTTGTCATTTTTTTAAGATTCCACATATAAGTGATATCATACGATATTTGTCTTTCTCTGTCTGACTTCACTTAGTATTATAATCTCTAGGTCCATCCATGTTGCTGTAAATGGCATTCTTTCTTTCTTTTTTATGGCTGAGTAGTATTCCATTATATATATCAAACTTCTTTATCCAGTCATCTTTCAGTGGACATTTAGTTTGCTTCCATGTCTTGGCTATTGTAAATAGTGCTTCTATGAACATTGGGGTGCATGTACCTTTTTGAATTAGTTTTCTCCAGATACACACCCAGTAATGGGATTGCTGGATCACATGGTAAGTCTATTTGTAGTTTTTTGAGGACTCTCCATACTGTTTTTCATAGTGTCTGCACCAATTTATATTCCCACTAACAATGTAAGAGGGTTTCCTTTTCTCCACACCATCTCCAGCATTTATCACCTGTGTACTTTTTAATGATGGCCATTCTGAAATGCACATGTGACAGGTACACCCTTAAAACCACCATTGAAATCAAGATAATACACATATCTATTGTTCCAAACGTTTCCTCATATCTCCCATAACTAGAACTCTCTCTAGGAAACACATTACTCTCTGTTTTGTCATATGTTCCTCTTTAGAGATAACTCTGCAAAGTAAAAAGTGAAAGAGTCACTGATAACGTATGTGTCCTTGACCACTTAGAAGGTCACGGCTGAGCCGAGACTGCATCCCCAAGTCAGTTTGTTGTACTCTCTTTTATCCCCAAATGACCTTTATATTGGTTTACATAGATATACATTGATTTCTCTTCAACCATTTTTTAAAACTTTTATAGGTTTATTTGGTTATATCATAATCTTTCTTTCCTTCTGGGCTTACTTCCAAACATTGCCTGGAACTGCTTCTAAATTTTAATTAAGAGTACTTTCTGTTTGGGCCATAAATTAAAATGTTCTGAGTTTCTTTTTCCAGTGTCAGGTTCAAGGAAGTCAGCCAAATGTGAAGCACTAGGAAAGAGGGAGATTGTCTGAGCCCAGCAAATGCCTCCCCTCATTTTGTAGTCATTGTGTTAGAGCTGGAAGACATCTTCCAGAGAAAGTAGATAAAACAATGAAGAAGCCACTAAAACATTCCTAAAGGCAAGGCTGTTTTCCCATTGTTACACAGCTAGTTGGCGGCAGAGTACTCATTAAGGCCCGATTGTCTTGACTTTTTTAGCTTCATGAACTTTCCACTGTAACTTCTCCTGCTTGCCATCTCTCAGGACTTTACTCCTTAAGATGAGATGGTAAGATGCAGGTGGAGATGATAGCTTTTAAAGAGAAAAAGTCTTTATTTTATTTTAAAGGCAGCATAGAATGCTGGAGATTAGACATTTGCTTTATTGGAAGCCCTTTGGCACTCAGGGAACGCTACTATCACCACTACTGCTAATAATAATTCACACTTATTGAATGCTTACTATCTTCCAGGAAATATTTTTAGTAGTTTGCATGTATTGACTCATTTAATCATCACAGAATCCTGTTGTTGGAACGTGGGCACAGGTTGGTCCGGTAACTCATCCAAAGTGTCAGCATGGATTTTGGAGGTGAATTTTTGTTATTGTAGTTGAATGAAGCCAACTATACAACCACTTTATATGCACAGAGATTCCTCTCAACTGTGAAAAGGAGATTGGGAAGAGATATTCTTAATCTGGGGTCAAGGGACCAGATTTTGAAAAGCTCAGGGCTCCCTAAAATGGTAAGCAATGGTTCCACAGATCTGAGGGGCGCAACTAGATGGAGGGGTGGAAACAGGGTTAGGTAGCAGCAAATCAACGCTGCACCCAGTGTCGCCCCCGAAACTTTTCCTATGTTGTGGACCTCACAGCAGCCAGCAAGACAGGGACTGCTCTTCCTACTCTTTATTTATTTATTCATTTTTTTTCGGATGAAGAATCTGAAGTTCAGAGAGTTTAGATAGTGTGGTTAAACCACCCATCTAGAAGAGGCATTGCTAGAATTCAGACCTACTTCAAATTCTCTGCTCTCGCTATACTGTTTCACTTTTTTAGGGACCAGAAGGGGAACAGGAAAGAAAAGGATGAGGGGAAGAGAAGACAAATTTAGAAGTGGTCATAGGGCAGCCAGGTACATAGGGCGTCCTGCACAAAGTACTCTGACTTCCGGTCCCAGGAAGTGACAGACAAGAGAGCATCAGGAGCGACATCTGTAAATTGTAAACCAATTGATAAATAAAAGCCGGGAGAAAGGGGAGCACTCCCGGTCTAAGAGCCGGCCTCCCTCATGATGGGAGAGCGCGAAGCTGGAGGCTAAGGTGCTTTCAGA